TAAAAGTCATATTTAATCTCAAGTTTGTTGGTTGCTAAAACTACCTTTATGGAATTAAGAGATAAAACATGTATCAGTAATTTACAATATATTAATAAAAGAAAAAAATACCATGAATTTTGCTTAAGGTCAGGATTGGAATTTGGGTTATAGGACAGGTCTCTCTTAATTTTAAGTATCACCATATATTAATTAGTCTTATCTTCTCATTTTCCAAACATACTTTACGACCACAAATCACAGGAACTATGTGCATAAGTTTCTGCTAGGGAGTTAAGCTTCTTAAGAAGTTTAATTATATATGTACAGCCTTAGTCTTGGATATAAACACATATTCACATCACATATACACATATACTTGCCAGCAGAACATGCTGAATATGTTAGAAATGCAAAACCCCCTCTAACAAATGTGCTAAGTCACCTAAAAGATAGTGCATTGTAAAAATTAATTTGACATAGAATTATAAAACAAAATAATATGACTTGTTTTTAATGTTTAAAATTATTTTATATGCACTATAACCTTATGTGTAATTACTCCACGCTTAAAATAGCATCTTTCAAATACTACTGAAATCATTGCTACTGCTTAAGCAGCACTCTGGGTGCAGCCTGGGTGTGCACACATGCACACAAAGCACACACTCACAGGCACTCCCCTGCTTACACCTGCTCTGAAGCAGTAGGAAGTGAATTCTCAATCTGTCAACATAACCATCTGGTCTATCTGCAGATCATGGTTTTCTCTAGTACTATATGAAGGAATGGCAGTCACGAGGCCAAAATAAAACTAACATGCACCTGAATGGGAATAGCTCCTCTTTTGGCTGAAATGGAAACACGTGGCTCATCATACGCAGACTAGCAGACTTGCAACTTAAAATGGGTGTTGTTGAGAGCATAATCGTAGGAACAATTCAGTACAGGGGACGTGGTGATGAGCAATCCTGCCCTGCAGGTTACAGGATGGGTACCAAGCTGCTGGGATACTGAAACAGCTCTTCCTGTGAGGGAGGAAGCAGACCAACCAGTAGCCACTGTGACAAAAGGTTCCACTGTAGAAGTGTTCATTTTCTGTCTTACACCTCACATGGACTTGCACCACCATTGGGACGGCATCGGTTCCTTTGTCATTGGCTAATTAGCAGTTGGAGCAATTTGCTGACAATTTCGGCCACTTAATCTTTCCAAGTGGATTTTTAAGACAGATAAAAAAAAATACTTGCAATCTTAGAAAAGTCCTCACCTTTAAAAAGTGACAGTGACTCAGTGGGCTTCAGCTTTGGGCCCATTGCCACCTGCAAATTAGCAAGGGCCTCTGTTGAAGTAAACATAATTCTATTTGTTTAATTGTAGATTTTTAAGTGTCACCACCAGTAAAGACTATCTCAGAGCTGCCGCTCTACCTCACAAGGTAGCACCAAACATAAACAGTGATTATCATTTTATGTCATAAGTAAAGCGATCTACCTCTGTCCACGAAAGAAATCCAACTTCTAAGCAAAATTTAACTAACTTAACAGAACCCTTACACTATGATTGCATTTCCAGAGTTATACAGGAGCAGTTTCAAAAAAGAAAAAAGAAAGAAAGAAAGAAAGAAAGAAAGAAAGAAAGAAAGAAAGAAAGAAAGA